TCAACTACTGCCATAACCAACTGTACTTAGACATTCAAACAAGATGTCAGTTCTCAGGCTCCAGAGTTTTTCTCCACAGAACTCCTGTGTCTTCAAAGTGGCAAATGCTATAACCCAAGGGGGCTATGCTCCCACCTCCGGGCTTATTCTATTAAGTGACCCAAAGGCTACTTGGGATTTCCTAGTTCCAACTACTTAGTAAGTCATGTCCCATTGATCCAGGGTGTTCTCAAGAAACACCCTGAACCGCCTGCATTTCCGTTTAATACTAATTTTTTAAACATATGCTATTTCTCCTAAATTTCTACGCATGCGTGATTTCTATAACTATGAAGTTGGTCCAAAAGATTTTGCTTTCCACTTTGGGTTAATTATGCTTTTCTGAATCATCTTTAATTACCTGCCATGTGGCTGAGAACCGGCCGAGCGCAGCGAAGGCACACAGCAACCGCCGGCCCCTCCATCTCCCTCAGGCGCTCCCCAGATCTGCTAGCGGAGGACGGATCAGTCGGATTCCCCACACCGGGGAATGTCGTCAATTTCCTTTCCCAAAACGTTTCCGTGCGTAAAGATGACACATTCTACTGGATCAAGGTTGCAAAAATAGGCCACTGGCGAACAAGATGAAGGAGCAGCAGGAAAAAATCCAGGTTTCTAAACAAGTAACTGAATGAGGAATCCAAACACCAAGACCACTAGGACTCACAGAGGAGCTGAGGAAATGGGCCAAAAAGGAAGTGCAAGGTGGTGAGGAGGGTGGCTGCCCGGGTGAACACCTTCCCCAGAACAACCCCCACGTGTCCGCACAGGGCCCGCTGCAAGGACCTAAAAGCGGCCTGAGGTTCTGGCTGGGCCTAGGAATCAGCACAGGCCAGATGACTCACCCCTTAGCAGCCTGGAAAAGAATGCTCCGCACAACTGAATCCACGGCAAGCCATGGGCGGGCATCGCCAATCTGAGCTGTTCCCCGCATCCCTTGAAAAAGGCCCCGAGGGCAGAACTGATCTACCTCCTGCTGGACCCGCTTTCCCCCTGAGCTCAAGGCGTGAGGCGCTGTTTCGTCTGGCGCGTTCAATTAATGCCGGAGAAGTTAAAGTAGGGACAGTAACACAATCTACAAACAGCGAACGTTCTTGGGGTACGTCCGAATCGGAACATTTGATGAAAGGAAAAAGACGATTGTAGAAGACATCCAAATTGAAAGGAAATTAAGCGGAGACCACTTCTCGAACGGACAGTAATAGAAAATAAAAACAGAAATGGACCAGAAGGAAAACTTCTAATCAGCCACGTGGCCTCGCGTATGCGGAGCGCTGACCTGCGGCCGCAGTAGTAGAACCGGCTACAACCATGTGAGGATTATCATCGCCATCTTTAGAACCCACGGGCTCTGGCTGAGAACAACTCGTCTGATACCGAAGTTACGACAGAGGAATGGGTGAGTCTACAAACTACAGGGCTCGCAAGGAGAACCAGCTCCATCATAACAACAGACCCATGTTGTAAACTCACAGAAGAAAGCAAAGCACAGCGAATGTATAAAATGTTAAAATACATTACTTAAAAATGCATAGCAACTCTTTCACCTTCATTTGTTCTGTTTGTTTTAAATCATAGTAAATTTACTCTAGACAAAAACAAAGTCTTTTTTGAATCCGTATGTAAGATGAGATTCCTCGCTGGAATTTCTTAAATACTCTCAACAAAAAACAGAAGTTGGGGTCCTGGTACCTTGGGGTGAGTGGCATCTCTCCCCAAACAGGTGGGAGCTTCAAACTCCTTCTTTTCCAGGTCTTTCCTTCCTTCTCCAAGTTGTGGTTTGGTCCACTTTTCTCTTTGCCCATAGTAACGATTTTCCAAAGGGAACAGGGGGATGCGAGAGTGAGTCCAGTCTCAAACTAGGCACAGCAGCTGTGGCGCGAGGTCCGGTCCTGGTCGTGAGCTAGTAGCACGCTAGCCATCAGCAATGACGCATGCAGGAAAGAAAGAATGCAGGCACCAGGCCCCTGGACGGACAGAGCTGGCCCAGAGCACTTTGCGGGGGCACCGATTTGGAGGCTATTAGGAACAGTATTACTGTTATTTTTTGTAAGCAGTTTTATTTTAACCTCTTCCACAAAATCTGGAAATGCAAAGTATCCTAGATCCAGAAAGGACCTGGAGCACCATCTATTTCCGACTTCATTTCATGAACAGAACTTCCAGTTCCCCTGGGACCAGGCCATGCTCCTTCATGGTCCCCTCTGCCCACACCCTGCCAGTAGAACCCCGGCGGACTGATCTGACTCCCACCAGGTGCCTGCCAGTTCTCCCCAGGGGACCTGTGTCCCCTCTCAGGGGACAGCAGGCAATCTTGCACGTTACTGAACGGAGTGGAATCAGAAGCGGCTTCTCCCCAGACGGCATCCTGAGGTCACAGCCAGCCTCTAGCAGTGATCTTTGTGGAGCACGGTAAGAATAGTTATGATGCTGTGTAGTCCTAGCTCCGGATTTTTGTCACAACACTGGTCCCAGCAGCCTGTCTTCATAAGACGTCAAGATTTTCCTGTTTTGCAATTGCCTGCATCTCTCCATCTGGCCTAAGAAGATATTGTTCTCATTGTTTTTAAATGACAGCTATCGATGCACAGAAGATGCATTCTGCACAGGGCACCTATGGACACATGTCCCGGGTCAGCATTTTCGAAAAGCTATCCAATTCCTCATGGCAAAAAGTAAGTTAATAGGATTGTATACAATTAGTTAAAAAACACAGACCAAGCTCACAGACTCCGCGGCATCTGCTTTCAAAACGCTCCATTTCTCAGAATCCACAGCCCACCCAGCTTGGAAAACATGTGTCTCCTTTCTTACACGGAAAACCCACAGTAAGGACGGTTGTTTTTCCCATTGGTAACAAACAGCGGCAGAGACCGGCACCGTAACTCATCGAGCTATGAGGAAGAGAGGAAGCTGGCCGAACAGAACCTGCATCCACCCACCTTACACCACTCCAGGGCAGGGAGGGGCTTCCCTGCACCCCACCAGGCCGCTCGGGACACCGTGGGTGCCTGTGAGAAATCCCTCGCTCTGCCATCTGTACCCTCTGTACAGGTACAGGGCACACCTGCAGGAATCTCCCAGGGATTCAGCTCCAAACTCAGAGGCTTTATGAAATGCTGCCAAGGGCTCTAAGTTAAGCAGCCTTAACTTCCTCCCTCAGAGAGCTGGTGGGAGAGATGGGGGGAGGCTAACGAACCTCTGGGCTACAAGGGGCGAAAGGAGAGATGAAATGGGGTGCAGCTGGAAGGGGGGCCACAAAAGGCTCTTTAATCCTCATATATAAGTATTGCATTTATAAGCATAACTTTACACATTCACTCTTCATCATATAGATGCATTATATATAATGTATACTATAGAGCATATATTACATACAACTACATACCATATAACATTTGTACTATATGTTATATATGTACATGTGTAAGTGTGTGTGTGTGGAATGACTTCCACAGGGTGATAAGGAAGCAGGAGAAGGAAAGATCCACAGAGGCCAAGGCCCATAGTGCAAGGACACGTTCAAAGATGCAGGAGGGGCAGCACAGGCCAAGGTCACTGGTTTGTTTCCATCGGCTGAAACCTGCCAACAGCCCGAAGCTCCTCCCAGCCCCCAGGAGCAGCAGCCGCGGAGTTCAGTTTCTGCGGGGAAGTCCTAGGGCTGGCAGGGGAGTGGGAGGAAGTCCTCGGCCACTCGCAGAACAGCATCTGTGCCTTGCAATTACGGGCCAGAGAGGATGTGATGCATGTGTAGGAAGGGACAGTCACCCACTAAGTAGTCCGAGACACATTGGGACAGACAGTTTGAAGGCCTTCGGGACATCCCCATAATAAAAATAACAGCAGTAAGCACAGCCAAGTGCTTGCTACCATCTGTTATAACATGTTTCTTCGTATTAAATTGTTTCATCCAGGTAACAGTCCTCCAAGGTAGGTAGTATTATCCTCACCCCCTGCCCCAGATAATAAGTGGTGCCCAGCTAGGACGTGGCTGAATGAGGATTCCAGCCCAGAGTCCACATTCTCAACCCGGACTTGATCGGTGAGTCTGGTCGAGTACGTTCTTCAGCATAATAACTGAGCAGAACACTCCCTCCCCGCCCAACGCTCTGCGGCCACGGCCCTTCCAGCCCTTGCTGCCCAGCTGCAGGTGCATTCTGGAACAACTCACCTGTGAGCAGACCGGGGTCAGCATAAGTTCTGTCTTTCCCCAAAATAACATTACAATCTCCTGATTGGCAAGAGGTAGAAAGGTATCTTGTAGACAGCCCACCACCCAGAACACACGGACAATTCCCATTCCAGATTAAGTGGCCGAGAAACAAGACTCTGAATTAGCGCACAGGAGTTTAAGGGTCCATTTTGCCTGTAATCCACTGGGACTTTGGGCAAAGTATTAACCTTCATGAATTTCCTTTCCTTCATCTGTAACATGGACTTCGCGATAGAAGTTACTCATACAGTGGAGTACCACACCTGGTGCACAGGAAGCCCCCGATAGATGCCAGCTCTCATTAATAACCACGCTTTCCTCTGGCTAAAGGCACTGTCATTGCTGAATCTCCCCCTCCTGATGGACAGCCCCTCCCTTGGCCAGAGATCCAGCTCACCTCCCTGCAGATGACCATCCTCGGCAAAGGTTGGCATCGGAATCTCTACCCAACTGAGCTCCAAGAAAGGGGTATTGAGAAATGGGTTGCGCATTTAATACAATGCAGAGGGACACTGGCATTTGGTGAGCTGGGTGGCCAGGATGTAAAATATCTCGCATGCTCAGGACTGCCCCACACAATGGAGACTTTCCCTGCTCAAAATACTGATAGTGATTCCCCTGGGGAAAGAAAAATGCAGCTCTGCTTGGGAAATATTTTATACTCAGGACGACAGACAAAAAAATCAACTCCATGAACAACAGGTCGAGGAGGCAAGCGGTCCAAAATCAATTAGGAAATCACCAGTACCTCCTTATGCTTTCGGGGGGTCCTGCAGGGAGGGGGATCTGATTGGCTAAGGCCAAGGTGTCCTGCACAGCCTCTCGGACCTCCTGCAGCTCGCCAGGGGACAGCCGGCCCAGCAGGGGACTCAGGTCGCAGCCCCGCCAAAGGAGAAGCTGCTCTTGCAAGTCTATTTCCCTTCTCAGCTGTTGATCTTTCGCTTCCAGCACAGACATCCTGGCTTGGAGGGCTGCGATTTCTTTCTGCAGAGAAAGGAGAGACCAGATTTTATAAATTAGCCCTGCCGGTAGCAGACGGCTCTGCTGACGAGTCGTTTAAAGGTGAGTCCTCCTTGTGCACAGAAGCTGTGCAGTCCCCCTTCTGCAGCTGGCAGATTCGGGGAGGTTTGCTGAACTGGAAAAAGCACACCAGCTTCCTATTTCTGATTAGTTGGCATAAAGAAAAGCATTCCCTCCTGAGCATTAAATACCTATGGGGGGGAGCCCATAGTTTGACTTGGAAGAACCCGGAAAAAATACAAACGACTTACTTCAAGGGGAAGAGACAGAACACAGGGCGGCAAACACCCCAAACCTGAGATCCAAGCCACGCAGGTAACGCAAGTTACAGACCACAGAAGAAACAGTAACCACCTTCCGCTGGGCTGTCCCCAAACACAAAAAGTTGGCGTGCAGAAAAAGAGGGAAAATCCTGGCTTCTGGCGTCCACAGGGTTGAAAGAGTCATGGGATGCCACAGATCGCATTAGGCCGCCTCAAGTTCATAAAAATATTAAATGTATTGAGCTCCCACTAATGTGGCAAACCCAAATCCGAAGACTTCAGAGAGTGTTATCCAGTCTTGAGGTCAATGATTAAGAGGAGCAGCAGGTGACCGCACACCCAGTGGGTGGACGAGTTACATACGGCACATGTCCTCTGGCTGCCCCTAGGCTTCCGCATTTAAAATGAGACCCTTTCCATCAGCGTCCTCCCGCGCTCCGTGCAGTGGCTTCTGGCTGATAAGAGCACAGCTCTGATCCTGGGGGTCTCCCCATCTCCTACCATGTTCTCTCAACCCCAAGGCTAGATCACCTACAACTTCTACCTCCTGACCCCACCCCCCACCGTGGGGTGGGGAGGGACAGAACTACTGGGAGTCCACCACCGAGACACACTAAGAAGAAAGAAACACACACTGGCCGGTGTGGCTCAGCTGGTTGGAGCGTCGTCCTGGAAACCGAAAGGCCGGGGCACGGGCCTAGGTTATAGGTTTGGTCTCCCGGCCCCCAGTCGGGGCACGTGTGAAAGGCAACGAATGGATGCTTCTCCCTCACATCAGTGTTTATCTCCCTCCTCTCTCTGTCTTTCTCTCTCTCCCTCCCTTCCCCCCTCTCTAAAAAAGCAATCAGCACGTCCTCGGGGGAGGATTTAAACAAAGAGAAGAGAGTAGCAGTATTGTTGACATGTCTCCCAACTAACTTCCCACTTCCGCCTTTGACTTCCCCTACCCTATTGTTTTCTTTCTTTTTTTTTTTTTTTTTTCGGTTTTTTAAACTGTGGTAAAATACATGGAACATAAAATTCACCATCTTAGCCACTTTTAAGTGTCTGGTTCAGTGGCAGTCACATTGTTGTATAGCCATCACCACGGTCCGTCTCCGGAACCCCTTTATCGTGCAAAAGGGAAACTCCGTCCCCACCACACGGGACCTCCTCGTCCCCTCCCCAGTGCCACAAACCGCCACCGTGCCGTCCATCCCTGTGAATTTGACTCTTCCAGGGACCTGGTGTAAGTGCAATCGCACCGTATTAGTCTGCTTCCGACTGGCTCGTTTCACTCGGCACAATGTCCCCAAGGTTCATCCACACTGTCGCCACGTCAGACCGCCTTCTGTCCATCCACTTATCTGACGGTGAACGCTCGGGTTGCTGCCACCTTCTGGCTGTCGTGAATAGTGCTGCTCTGAACACCCCTCTCTGCGTCCCTGCTTTGAATCTGGGGCACAGACCCGGAGGTGGAACTGACGGATCACGTGGTGATGCTGCTTCCAATCTTCTGAAGAATGACCATCTGCTCTCCACAGTGGCGCTACACCCTGTGCTTAACACGGGAGTCAAGGTGGTCCCCCACTCCAATTGGAGAAAAGCCCAAGTCCCTACAAAGGCCCACAAGACCCCAGAAGGCCCCTTTATCTCTGAACTTCTCTCTTCTCCCCACCTGGCCCCCCGGCCACCCACGGAACACCGGAGGCCCATGCCCACGGCAGCTTCCACACGGCTGTTCCCTCTGCTGGGGACACACTCCCCGGGTCTTCTGCAAGGCCTGCCTTCTCACCTCCTTCAAGCTTTTCCTCCAATCTCCTTCCTCAGCCAGCAGGCCTCATCCATCCCCCACTCCCCGTCACCTGGGGCTGTGCCCTGTGGCTCCTACCACCTACACAATGCTAAGTATGTAACTAGGTAGTTACGGCTTTTGTGTCTGGCACATGGTAGGCACTCAGTAAATACCTGCTGAGTAAGTGGGGACCGGCCTGCCCCCAGAGTTCTGCCGAGAACGCGCTCCTCAAACCCTGCGTGCCCAGTCATTTCTGAATACTCTGACATCACCTGGAACATGCTGCCTGTGACTGGTGACTCGACCAAAACCCGGCTTTCACGTCGACAGCTGTCCCAACGTGGTGACAGCGCTCCTGGAATATGTAAGTGCCCCGTTCACTGAGAGTGTTTTCCAGTTTCAAGGGCTTCTGCTTCCGTTGCCCCCTGCTGTTGCAGGCACCTGGCTGGGCCAACTCAGACCACAAGGATACTCTGCATGAGGGGCTGGGAATGCGGGCCGTCCAGTCACTCACCCGAGCTCCCATGAACTTACCTAAGTTCATCCCACTATCTAGAGCCCAAGCTTGGGTTTGGACCTGGGTGCTCCAGTCCTCCGCTCCTTCCAGAAGTCAGGCTGCCTCAATCCACCTTTCCTCCTGCTCCCCCCGTCTGCCACCAGGCCTCCAGGCTGCAGCAGGTACAGGTTCAGCTGCGCTGTCCCTGCCTCTCGGGGGGGCCCTATCAACTTCCGGGGCTCCCCACTGCCCCGGCTCTAGCTCAGTGCTGCCCTAGATTTCTAGCCCCTGGGTGACCCGTCCACTGCCTGGGGCCACCTGGAGCTCCCAGGTGATGCCTGCCCGTCACTCCCAGACCCGCCTGCCTCGCTCCGTCCCTGCTTACTACTCCGCTTGCTAACGACTGCGACTCAGTCCAGCTCGATAGGAATTTCATAAGGGATTTCTTTCTGCCTCAAAAAGAACCTTCTAAAGGTCAAGATGATAAGAGGTGACAAATCGGCCTGGCAGGCAGGGAAGCACTTTCAAAGGTAATGAGGGACATCAGAACCTGCACGGAGGCTGCTGAGCGCCAGCCCCTCATCTGTAATGAGACTCCTACACGCCCGGCCGTCATCTCCACCAGGCCTGCCCTTCGTACGCGCCGGGGACAGCCAAGCACTAATCACTACTCAAGCAAAGAGCCACTTTGCTGCCTTTGGCTTAAAGGGACAAGAAAAACGCTCCCCATTTCTCGAATATTCTTCACCCGCTTACCTGCAATTGCTGCTTTTCTTGAAGAAGCCAGTCTCGCCTGGTGATGGACACGCCCAGGTGGTCCTGAGCTGGGGGCTCCGCTCGGAGCGGAGCTGGGGTGTCCTCGCCGCCCGCCCTGAAAAGAAAACAGACATGGGTACAGATATGGAGACGCTGGAACCCTCTGGTCTCCAAGAATGGGAAGAAAGAGGAATTTCACAAAGTGGTCCCCAGCTGTCCTCGTCTTTAGGAGGGTCACGGGGGTGAGGTCCCTCACCTAAGTTTCTGTTTTAATGACCATCTGTTGGGACTACGGCTTTTTCGGAGCCAGTTTGCTATTGTTGGCCCTATACCACCCAGTCCCGCGGCCCCTAGTCACACGCGGCTGTTACATGTGTGGAAAGTCAAAACACACCAGGCTGTAAAAACCCAGTAAGAAAACAAAGAGTGCAAAACGTCTCACTAGTGATATTTCATGTTCATTACATGTTGGAATCACAGTTTTATATTGAGCTGAATTAAAAATATTTTAAACTAATTTTACAGGCTTCTTTTTTCTTTCCAGCATGGCTGCTAGATCCTTTAAGATCACGGCTGTGGCCTGCATTATATGTGAGTGGACAGCCCTGGGCTGACCGTCCAGATAGAGCCAGATTCCAGGGCTGATCTTGGCCGTGGAGATAAAAAAAGAGGCTGATTTGCAGGTGCTAAGGTCAGGGCTTCTCAGAAATGTTTTGCTAAAAAACTGTCAAAACCGCTTAAAGTCTGTTTGGCTCTCTCTTATTCTTGCAGGAGTTGCCCACTTGAAGAAAACCACACCGGCAAAATACGGTTCAATCCGGAGCCCGAAGCAGAGCCAGTGAGTTGCTTTGCAGAAGTGTTGCAGGTAATGATCATCCAAGGATGAGAAATTCATCCTTAAAGTATTTGATTTCTAGCTCCACGCAGTGGGACGGGAAAAACTGTCCCCTGGGCAAAACTGTCAACGAGTCAAGGGAACGATGTCAAAGAAAACACCGTAACTACAGTGAAAAGGCAAACGACAAGCCGTGATGGAAAAAAAGGAAATCTTGCTCATTTCAGAGTTCTGGCAAGTCAAGAAAAGACAAGCACATCTATCGGAAGTTCACAAAGCTTTCAGTTGTAGCCCCTTTTATCATCAAAGATGGTTTTAAGTGCAAATTCAGGCAACAGAACGGATCATTTTTCACCTAATAAACTGGCAAAAGTTTACATGAAGCCTCACTCCTTGGTGAACACCGGAAATAAGAATTAGACTTAACATATAATACAACTTTGAATCTTACAGCCCCACTTCTAAGAATTCGTTGTATGTAAATAATCATGCACGCGCACAAAGATTAGCTACCACAATACCACATTTTTTCTTAGTGGCCAGGAACTGAAAACGCCGTAATTGTGGCCCAAAACAAGGGTGAGGGCAGTAAACCATGGCACAGGCCCCTGAGCAGGAGGGCACAGCTGCCAAAACTGGGTCAAAGGAGCGGTACATACGTGGAAAATGTTCGCTCTGCACTGCTATTTTTAAAGCAGGCATTTCGGTCACAGGTGTATCATGAACCAATGAACATAAAAATAATGTGTGCCCTGGTCAACGTGGCCCCGTTGGTTGGAACAGTGTCCTGTAACCAAATTGTGGGTTCAATTCCCAGTTGCCTAGGCTGTAGGTTCGATCCCCGTCCCAGGTGCGTACGATCCCCGGTCTGGTGTACACGGGAGGCAACCAGTCGATGCTTCTCCCTCCTCTTCCTCTCTCTCTAAGAACACAGTGAGGAAATGTCCTCGGGTGAGGATTAATGAATAAATAAATAAATAGTGTGTACAGAAGAGATGATGGGGAAATATCCCGCAATTCTATCAGTCCCAGCTGGGTGACAACCTTTTATGTTCTGTTTTCTGAGCATGTCCTGTTCTTTATAACTGTAATAAAAATGTTTTCTACCGTGCACACTAAGTAACTGCTTGGATTGACTTCAATATTCTAACACAGACAACCTGCTGTATACAGCCCTTGGACAGAACAGACACATACTGTGTTTAAAAGAAACCTCATCCATTCGTTAACGGTCAAGGGCATCTCTCTGCAGAGAAGCAGCTAGCTGCAGCTCCTGACGGCCCAAGGCATGAAGTACCCCGCCCTCCTCCTCCCCCCACAAGCCCCCCCCCCCCCCCGCGGCTGCCACACCCATAGGCACCTCAGGGCTCAGCAGGCAGAGGCGCAACGCTGCACGTTCTACCCAGTGCCTTCGCTGGGCCGCCCCACCTCCACGTGTCTTAGACAAGAAAATGAGTAACTGACCCTCGTACGTGCTGTGCTTTGTCTCCTTTCACTTCTAACCCATTTCATTCCTTCGTTCCTTCATTCAGAAAAAGGAGAAACACTAGGAAGGTCACGTCCTCTGTGCCACGGGCTGTGCTTGGGCGCCAGGGACACAGCCATCACCAGACTTGCGTCCCACAGAGAGCAGGGGACAAGCACGCCCCACCGAGGCCCCAACCACCAGTGCAGGAGCTGAAAGGGGGAGGCGACTCCCCGACTGCCTGAGCCCACCTAGCGCTGCGCATCAGCCCTCACATTTTTAGAGACCTTGGTAGAGCATATGTTGCTTAGCTTTTCTCAGTTAGAGCAGCAGCCATGAAAAAGGAGCCTGGCTCGCATGCCTGGGTTTCTCTGAATCACCTTTAAAAATGCTAACTCACTGCAACACACCACACAACTTAGAAGTTTATTTTAAGACCCATTACTCTGACTTCCAAGTGCTTAAAGGGAAGTAACAGCAGAAATGGTGGGACTGTTAAACGGGCAGGAGTAAAACACACTCGTACAAACAGAATTTACCGTACGGCAGACCCGATCACTCTTACCACTCACTCCTCACTGAGGACACTACCACTACAGCTTTATCAATGAGGAAACCGTGTCACGGAGGCTAAGTGACTGGCTCCTGGTCACACAGAGAGCAGTGAGGGAGGCGAGGAGTCAGCAATGCGTGCGGCTGCTTCCGCCAGCCCGTGACGGCTCTCTGCAAGATTGTGGAGTTCTGCTTCCCCCCGGCTTCCGGTCCTGGGCACCCACACCCTTGACTGAGGCCCTTGCCCTCTGTCCAACAGGGGCAGCCAAGAGCGATGGGCGGGGCTCAGCACCCACTGGGGGATGGACAGACAACCGCCGCGTCAGCCACAGTTTCTCCTTTTTCCGGCTGTGCATCCGTGGACTTACCAAGCTCTCTGAACTGTCCCCTCTTCATTTCTGAGATGAGCAAGAGGGTGACAATAAAGCTTCCCTATATGGCTGATCATGGGGGTCAAATTTATTCAACAAAAGACCGCAGAGCACCTACTGTGTGCAGGCCCTTCTGTCCTCAGAAAGCTTGCCGTTGGCTATCTCATGTCTCGGTGTTTGTACCGGGACATGTGCTGTGCTCCTGTGCAGTGATCACACTGTCCTATGCCAGGTGACACAGGTTACAGACAGGATGTTTCTGTTCGGAGTTTCCTCAAAAAATGTAAAATGGAACCGCCTATGGCCCAGCGACTGCACTGCTGGGTAGGTGTCTGAAGAAATCCAAAATATATGTCCCCGTGTTCACTGTAGTATGATCCGCAGTAGCCACACTGTGGAAGCAACCCAAGCGCCATCAGTAGATGAGAGGATTAAACAAGCCGTGGGAGAAAAGAACACACATACAATGATGTTGCTTTGTCCCCAAAAAGAACGACATCATACTATTTGCGACAGCACGGATGGACCTGGAGGAGACTATGCCAAGTGAAATAAGTCAGACAGGGAAACACAAATACCATATAATTTCATTTATACGTGGAATCTAAAAAACAAAATAAGTGAACACGCTAAACAGAAACAAACTCACAGACACAGAGAAAAAACTGACGGTTGCCAGGTGGGAGGGGTTGGGAGGCTGGGTGGGAAAGGAAAGGGGAAGGAAGTACAGATCGGCCGTTACGAAGTAGTCACAGTCATGTAAAGTACAGCATAGGAGATACAGGTAATAATACTGTAATAACTATGGACGGTGCCAGGTGGGTGCTGGAAATATGAGGGAACATTTGTGTAAATATAGGATTGTCTAACCACTACGCCGTACACCTGAGACTACTACAAAACAATAGTGAATGTAAAAAAATAAATATACTTCTGATTTTTAAAAAAAGCTGGATATACCCTGGCTGGTCTGGCTCAGTGGCTGAGTGCCGGCCTAGGAATCAAAAGGTTGCCGGTTCAATTCCCAGTCAGAGCACATGCCTGGGTTGCAGGCCAGGTCCCCAGTAGGAGGTGCATGAGAGGCAACCACATATTGATGTTTCTCTCCCTCTCTCTCTCCCTCCCCTCTGCTCTCTAAAAAGAAATTAAATATTTTTAAAATAAATGAAATGTTTTAAAAGATGGACTATTTCTGCAGATCTTTAGATGTTACACAGAGGGCGTCTCTGGAACAGAACCATCTCATCCATAAGATGTCCATGGGAACTGGATGCGTCTCCTCCTCCGAGCCCTAGAGCTCACATGACCACCCACTCTAGGCCATTGGCCTCAGAGCCGTGGGCCTGTGAGCTGAGAGACTGCACCATCTCATGCCAGTGTCCAGCATGGAGCAGGGGCCCCACAAATATTTGTTGAATGATTTAATGAGTCCATGGCCTGGAAAATCCAGCTTTATATGCAGCTTTCTATTGCATTAGATCACTTCTTTGCACAAATGTATTTCCCAATTTGCTCTGTTTATGCAAATATTGTTTCCTGAATTTCCTAAATAGAATACCATCTGGGTCGGGATGGGAGCTATTGAAGGAAATCAACATCTAATTGAAATTAGCTACGAGGAGCTACAGGTGGGTAACTGGGAATTCTCCCTATTATGGTTAATCACATTCATTACTTAATCCATCAGGAAAGCCCTGGTGATTAACCAAAACCCTCTCTCTGCCTCTTAGGCTCCGACTCAGGGGACAGAAAGCCACACACCGATGGCTGAGCGGTGGCCCCGGGATACACGGCAGCTCAGTAACGAAGCAAGGGACAGGCTTCCCCGTTTCAGACCTCCAGTCCTCCGAGTCCCGGCCTTGCCCTTCAACAACGTCGTTCCCTTTATAGTT